ATTAAACATCAATGACTGGAGTACAAATGCTCGTATTCATTACACAAACATCTGCCCCCACCGGGATTTGAATCCACGGCCTCGTAAGTCGGCGACACCATGAAACCCGGCGTACAAACCACTCGGCCACGGAGGTCGTCAAAATAATAATATTATACCTATACCCTCCTGCATAAATACTTTTTCTTTAATATAATATTTAAATCCCTCCTCAAAATTATTAGATATGACATAACATACGTAAATTGTAGGATAGAACGTGGTACCTACGTTAATAAATAATGGTGTCTATTCTGGCATGATTCTCTAAACTGCACTCTAAATGTGTTTAGCTCACAATACCTACTAGTGCGATCACTACAGATTCATCTGAGCAAATTGCTATTAACAAACGATCTTACCAACCATAGATTAGACTCATACTAGTTTTTTTTTGTAGATAGGCCCGATTTTTTTTCTGAACATGACCATTAATTTGCTCACCCATTGGGTAAGAATATAGGCACTGCCGGATTTAAGGGAGGGCAACCGGGGCGAAAGCCCTGGGGCCCCCACAATAGAGACTTCGGAAAAAAAAACTTTCAAATTCCAACTAGTAAACATCTTTTCGGTTCCGTTCGTTAACTCTAAGATTTAATTTCAGATAATTCTTGTTTCCGTTTATATTTATATGTGTTTGTTCAATACTAAGGGAATCTAATTGGTAAACAATAAATTATTTATTGAAAAACTCGACTGAAAAAAAATTGTTTACTTTATTTGGAAAATAATTTGGGGCGAGGGGGCCTCCGCTCCTCTGTTGCCCCGAGGCCTCTGGACCTCTAAATCCGGCCCTGAATATAGGATGCTCTTTATCTCTGTATCACTATTTGTTACCATATTCTGCAAATAAAGATGATTATGAAAAATTACTCCGCCCCACCTGATGTTAAGTGACGGTGAAGTCCAGAAGTGAAGATAGCTGGTACAGCAGTTCTACCTGCCACACCAGCCATCCTCACCTTGCCGGCCTGCATGTTGCTTCTTCACGCCTCTTTTAAAGGTTGTAAGAAGGAGGTAACACGTGAGCGGGCAGAGCATTCCATTTGCGGATAGTGCGACAAAGAAATGAGTCACCAAATTTTTTTGTACACGTTGGAATAGTGGCCACAGTTAGACGGTGACAACGTAGGCCAGCGCGCGTGGTCCTCTGAAGGAAAGGTAATATTTTTTGGTAAAGGTCCGCGCAGGTGCGAGTATAGACAGCAATAGTGTGCGAGTAGGGCGTAAATAGCTGTGCCCTCAGACCAAATAAAAAGTAAAGACGGAGTCTGCCGAACAAAAAAGTGAAGCCGGTTTTTTATGTATGTAGTGCATTAGCCAGTGTTACCATAGTCGTTTATAATACCCCAATATTAGAAATTTAATTATAAAATATTAGAAAAAACTATCGTAGGCTTATTCTCTAAACTGTCCAGATTAGTTTTGCACTAGCCCTAGATCCAACCTCTCCTGAGCCAAAGGTCCTGCGCTTGGAGATCTGGGGTTCCTGTGATTTACAAGTTTAATAACTGTTACACTAATAAAAGTTTAGTTAAAAAATATATAATAAAAACAAAGCTTAACCTTTGTTTTTGGCGGGATTTCATGGAGTGCGGTTAGCGTCATGTTTTAATTATTCTTTAATTCGTTCATAGTGAATATTGTAAAATAAAATTGGTGTAATTTTGTGTTTCAACCGTCTGCACGACTGAAGAATTATTGGAATCTTTAAAATATAAATTAACCTAAGTAACTATATTAAGTTAAAATATTTGTTTCTTAGGTTTTCACGCACATCACTCATTAAATAAAACTAGTTTTTACGGGTTAATGCACGAAACTTTATTTATTTATTGACGTTTCGCAGCCTTTTCAGGTCTGCATCGTCAGTTTAATGATTTTTTATTTTATTTATTTATCACAATAAAAAATCATTATTCTGACGATGCAGACCTGAAAAGGCTGCGAAACGTCAATAAATAAATAAAGTTTCGTGCATTAACCCGTAAAAACTAGTTTTATTTATATTAAGTTAAGTAAAAAAAATACCCTTGGCTATGCATTTTATTTTACACGACGTAACCCTTTTGTTGTGTAGTACAAATCGTCGCTCTGAAAATGAGACGAACAAACCACGCTGCGGGAAGCTGGTTACTGGTTGCAACAATGGTTCATTTCTACTCTTACGAATGACTGCAATCCACTTCTCTTTTAGATTTTGATCTCGATTAGGAAATCGTAAAAAAAAATGGTTGCCTGTAAAGTCGGTTTTACGGGCGAAGATTTTACGTGACAACGTCTTTTTCTCGGTAGAATATTTATTGATATGAATATAATTAAATTGCACAATAGGAACAAGGAATTGAATGAAAATAAGAATTGCACAAATTTTAACTATAGAAATATATTTTGTTTACTAAAACATTGTACATGTAAACTTAAACTTAACACGAGTGACTCATCGTAACGTTACCGAGCGTTACACTTTTTCATAAGTGACTCCCAGCCGCAACCTAATTTAAGACGTTGTCACGTCAAAAACGTATAATATATAATGTGTATTACATCCCAAAAAAATATACGAATACATAAAGAAAAAAGATAATAAAGATGTTTCGTGTAATTGTTTATCCATGCATTACAATATTCGAATAATATAAAAGTATGCTACACAATGTATTTAATAAAATAACGTTACGTTATATTTCACGCTACCCAACAAAAGGGTAAAACTGTAACGTATAATCATGGCAGCATTTCATTCAGGTTTTGTTTACAAAGCGAAAACCTCAAAATTTATTTTGATTAATTGAAAATATTAGTTTATAATTTTTCTTACGTATGAAATGTGATTCCATCCCGTTTTTTATTCTTGGAAGATTGGTTTCTACACGTTTTCACTACACAATTCGGCACTTTCTCTAATAAATATTGTTTTTTTATTATTACGTCACACTCCGCGCGCCGGGATAGCTCGACTGGGAAGCCAAGGCGTAGTGTCGTTGTATGTGTGTGCGTGTAACTGTGTATGTACACGGCGAGGCGTAGTTTTATCGGCTTCACTTTTTTGTTTGGCAGACTCCGTCTATACTTTTTATTTGGTCTGAGGCTGTGCCATTATAAATTCCATTCTTGAAACGGGCTTAACACTACCCAATTTTAAGGGCCCGGTCGAAAAGGTGGGCGTGGTCCCTAGCTAGGGGGTGGTAGCAATTTTACAACGCACCGATCGCCCTAGATCGGGTCCCTTACTTCCTAACTCACATTACACCGCCCTTCAGGGTAAGGGTCCCTTAAATTTGGGTAGTGTAAATCCCGCATTAACTGCGCAGGCTGTACAATATCATATTTTATCTCATGAATGCAAATTAGCCATAGTTGTGGGTGTAAATGTACATGCACATTGTCTTTGTGTGCGTCCGAAGCACGGGATAGAATATTTTTGGTCACCCATCCAATGACAGAACACTGCGAAAGTTGCTGAACCACTTGCGCCGTCGAGCTCCTTCGATAATATAGTATATAAATAGTGTTTAAAATAAATCATTTATATATTAAAGATTATAATTTTGATTTTACCACGCGTCGTAAGCTAATAACTTATTTTATTTATTAACGATATGTTTGCTAACACTACTTTATCGCTACCGGTAGGGATGATGACTATTTTTTTCTCTTCGTTTATCAGGTAGATTATCAAAAAGTATTGGACACGTATTTTTTCTTTTTTCACATAATATTAACATTGCAGAGATATATTGATTTGAAAAGTCACATGACGTCACGTTTGGGTACACTTTTAAGTGAAAATTCACTAAAAAGCGACGTACGTTACTCCCAAACTTTGACTTGCTATAACTTTCTCATTTTTTTTTTGTTGATTGTTCAACTAAAAAATACGTGTCCATTATTTTTTGATCATCTAACTGACGGACTAAATAGAATGAGGGCTACCGTTTTCTACCTCACCAGATGGCGCCACTATTGAGTGAGGTCCTAAATTGTAACTTTTAAAGTTTATTAATACGCACATGAAATCAAAGGTTACATTTAGATCGTATTTTAACACAAAAGAACCATATCCTAAACATAATAGGCCATGCCACAGTGACGCGCAGTTCCGTTTTATTCGGAAAAAATGGGAACATAATCATTTTTCTAAGCTCAAATTTTTAATAACTGACATTCATTGCCACATAACTCATATTTGCCATAATTAAGCCGAATTGTTACCAATTATTCGCAACATTATTTTAATTAGAAATAAACCCGCGTAGTCAACCAATAAGCAATAACATTTGACATTTCGGAGACCTCACGCTACACTAGCGCCTCTAGCGGCGGATTCATACGCGATAGCCCTCATTTTGTTTACTGTACCCCGTCATCACCCCTGTTACGCACACAAAAACGCGAGTCTATACGCATTACTACTACAAATATTTCTCACTTGCATTCGTGAGATAAAACAACACCAATCATTCCTACTACTATTATTTACTTGAGCACCTCCGTGGCCGAGTGGTTTGTACGCCGGGTTTCATGGTGTCGCCGACTCGAGAGGTCCCGGGTTCGAATACCGGTGGGGGCAGACGTTCGTGTGATGAATACGGGCATTTGTAATCCAGTCATGGATGTTTAATATGTATTTCTATATAAATATACTTTTAAATGCACAGTATTTGTTACCCTAGCATCCCATAACACAAGCCTTACAGTGCTTTGGGGCTAGGCTAATTGGTGTGAGTGTTGGAAATATTTATATGATTTTTATCATAAATTTGAAAGTTTCAATACTAATCTTATACTAATCACGCAAAAAAGTCTGAACATATAACATATAATTTATGACCTGGATTGAGTCATGGGATATTGAACATCCCGGTAAAATGTCCTGTGGGATACTTTAAAAAATAAAATTACCACGGACAAAGTTGCGTGATAAAGCGACGGGGAAAGACATAATGAATAAACCAGAATTTAAAACTAATAATTTTATTCAATTACATATACATAAATAGCAAAAATGCCAGTGTCATAATTTTAAAGATTACAAATAGAATCTTAAAAATAAAACATTGCTTTTGGGGGCGTCTTGTTGTTCAAACAATTAGGAATTTAGTTATTGCAATAATAAGTAATGTCAATTATAGAGAAGAGTAGGAAAATTCATTGATTTTTTGTATATAAAACAAGAAAAAGCTAAATTCAGAGTTATAAATGGGTTTTCAATATTATTATATATATACCAGTAGAAATGTTGACAAGACGCCCCTTAACACAATTATAATAAAACTCAACTTGTCATTTTAACAACTCTAGACTAATTTTCTAGGTAATGTCAAATTGATTATACAGGGTCGAATTTGTTACAAAAATAAAATAATAAAAAATATAATGTTTTGTTTAAATTACAAAAAAAATTGACCCTATATGTAAGTTAAATAATAATGTTTACAATATGTACTGAAATATTTTTATGCACGACCGTTTTTTCTGAACATTTTATGTTTTTTTTTTAACGTTAAATAAGATATTGTAATAACGACAACCGTTATTGCAACATAATTTCCAGAAAACCAGCCGTGTTCACATCGAAAATATTAAAAAGAAAAACTCATTGAAGGAAATAAGTTAAAAAATCTACAAACATAGGCTAGCCGAATAGTCCTTAACTTTACATATAGTGCTAACATATATTATATTTTGTTTATCATTTAATAATTATAGTTATAAACTGACCACTCGGAAACATTGAACACCAAAGATTATTAAAAAAAAATACTAAATAAACACCAAAATTTATAATTTAAAAAAAACTATCGTTTTACAAAAACATGAGTATAATAATTAATCATTCATAAGAGAGGGAAATAAGTTTTTTTTTTTTCAACTAATATTAAATAGCACGCTATCAAATATTGCTACGCATGCCAATTTGACAGTCAATGCCGCCGTGCAGTCAGCCATCTTAATATTTCACAAAGCACAAATGGCGGGAAGGGCCCTTTAAAAAAACATGGTCTCTGGCCCCTAAAAAAGCATTACATGCCCGTAGAACTATTAGAATGCACCAAATCGCCTCCTCAAGCATCTCATGAACAAGAAAATGTAGATAAAAAATGCAATTAAATGGTAATTTATTTTACAAGTGTAAACTAAACTTCATTGTACGTGATTTGTTAAAAGTTACATACAGACGTGTATCTCTTTATGTTCATAGAAAATATTTAATAGTTATTGATAAAATCTGCACCTATTTAGAACATTGACAACGTAACTTTAAGTAGCACTCGAAATGTTAATAACTTAATCTATTACAAATAAAAATGCATTAATTCAGCAGGCTTATTGTAAGCCTCGCTAAAATTCAATTAATAAAAAGAAAATCTGAGAATAATTCGTTAGTCAGAAATAAGCACCGTGTTTTATAGAATAAAAATTGTACCATCCTATAAAAGCATTTAGTTGTACTTTACAACGCTTTATAATTTTTAGTTGTTCCAAAAATACTTCATCTTTTGTAAAAAAAAATAAAGATATGTACTAAAATCTCTTAAGTTCATTTAATATTCAATATTTAATCAAAAATAATGTCTCTATCCACATTTTCTACTCCATTCGACAGATGAAGAGGCTCGTTGACTAAAATTAAAAATTATAAAAAGTAATAAAAAAATAAGTTCCGGCATAAGACATGTAAAGGCGAGTAATTAATAAGGTTTTTGTTTTTTAAATAATTTAACGCATGTTTATTATAAATTTGTATGTTTTTAGCTGGTCGAGTTTCCATGTTATTCAATTTTATTTATGGCATTTGCTAAACGCTGAAATGACTATTGCAAATAAAAAATGCTGATATAAAAAAAAATATCGATTCAGCGTTATATTCAATTTATAACGCTTTATGATGTTGGGGAACTAAATACATGGAACTGTTATGAATAAAGGTATTTGAAAAGAATTAAACCAGCTTATATGTAAGTTTCACGTAAAATGTCACAAAAAATATATTACCGATGAATCAAGAACCTCACTAAAAAGTTATTTGCTTACATCAGCTTTCGTGAATCGGTTTATTGTTTGTTAATTTATAAGAATAATATAATACGGTATACAAAGCATCTGCCACAGAAGAATACATTTGAAAACTCGCACAGTTTAGCAGGATCGCCCTAGCTACCTATAGTGATAGGTGGGTACATTTCATATCAAGAGCATTAAAATAACGAAAATCATATTTATAAAAACGTTTTTCACTTATTTAAGAACAAAGTTTCTTTACCATTTGCAAAAAGCACAGTTTGCAAGGCCCAAAAAACTTCACTCTTCTGTTTTCTGCTGTAATTGATCAAGAGACACACATAAAATGTACGAGTAAAACACCAAGTGTCTATGTTAATCACTTTTTTTGATCAATTACAACAAAAACAGAAAAAGGATTTTTTTGGGCCAAATAAAATACTGTGGTACGTGACCAACTTTGTTTGTGTAGAAAAACAAAATTCATAATTTATTTAACCATAAATCATCATAAGTTTTCACTCAACGATATGCGAAGGCCACATTATCGCGTGAAAATTCGTCTGCCAGTAACACGATAAAACTTCAACTTCCATATACAACGCGAACTGGCAACATTTTAAAAAACATCGCAATAATTCAGGCGGGAAAGTTCAGTCCCGCTGTCAACGAACGCGCCGCACGAATTTAATCGCCTTTTTTGACGTGTTTAGCATTCGCAATGAATGTTTCGGTCTGACATGTCGCGACAACGGGAATTTTCGCATTATCGCGATAGTGTGGCCCCAGTATAAACATAAATGTTCTCTAAACATTAAAACTTGTAGCAAAAGATGTTCATAAGACTGAATATATTTTTTTTCCTTGGCTTTAAAAAAACTTATGACAACTGAAAGACTATTCGAACTATGAAGCACAGTCTTGGCAGTGCCGGGGCAGAGTATAAGGGCGTGTTCACACTGGTTCCTACTTTAATGGCAAATTATGCAAAAGCACAACACATCCATAATGGCAAGCAACTTTCACAAAGATCGATTATAGAATAGTTGACAGAAATACGTCTTTAAAACTACCTGCTCCGTGCTTTCAATGATTATTATAAAGCATTTATTGATATTTTGTGACTCAGCATATAGCTGATATACCTTATATTTAGTCTTAAGCTCTTACAAGCACTTGTTGTACACAAGGTTCTAGTGAAATGTTAAATATTTGATCCATATTCTTTAATGCATGCCACAGATAGTTCAAATACAAGATTATGATAACTTGCACAAATATGTGCACCCTGCAAGGGCGTTGCAATTTTATTTAAATTGCATAATGCACTGATGATCGTCAGAATATGTAGCTCCATTCTTTTTCAACTTACCTACATAGATTGTATTTCTGTCTTACTCTATAAATGCATGTAAATGTCAAATGACCTATAAATCAATAAGACCCGAGCGTAGGAAGCAATGTGAACCCGCCTTTATATTTGTAACAAACACTTTTCAAATAATTGTACATGCCATCTATGTTTTATCATCATTACACGAATATTTCATTTCTAGAAGTTACTTTCAACGTCAATCGCAAGCTATCTCTCTCAAGAACGAACGCTTTAACATGCTTAATGCAACTTTGATATTTACACACCACATATAAATGCAAGTTTGTAACATTTTTGCTTTAATAATTAAATCGGAGCAGGTTAAAGATGGAATTCGCTTTAGATAGTATTAAAGCTGCCTTAAGCTCGACTTAGCAAGATTTAAATAAAATTTTAAGATTTTCAATTTCTATAGAACACTTATTTTTTAATTTGTGGCCAAGGTTGTCATTTGTTTGCTCTTTTTCGGTGAAACATTCTGCATGGCGATAAAGGAACAGAATCCAAGTATTGTCCGAACTTTAGAGATTTCATGGCCAAGCCAATACCAACGTGTAGACAGCATATTTGTCTCGCCTTGTCATCGTTCTATGTCGCTTGCCTAATTTGCCGAGTAAAGGGTGGCGCAGGCTCATAGATTTTTAAGGCATGTCTCTGCTGAATCCTATTAGCACCTGTGGTGACAAAGCTGCCTTGTAAAAGCGATTTACGACTCTACCGTCTTGTGAATTAAGTTGAAACTGTTTCAGCTTTTTATTTTAACATATATTATGTCGTTCGTTTAAGATAGTATGCGATTGTGACAAGTTGTCTGAGTGCCCACCGAAGCTTACTTTAGCGATTCACGAGCGAATTAGGTACCTTATTAAAATACAAGATTTGAAAGCGAAATGGCAGTGTTCCTTTGATTTTTTATCTGTGGACAAACGAAAAAGATATTATTATTTTTTAAGAATGTAACCGCTGGATATTTAAATCTAAAGAAAATCTAACTAGAAATGATATTATCAATAATACACATATTACGAGCCCTTACCGCCAAATTATCGTAAGCGACACTTTTGTCGAAATGCGTTTTTTGTGGAAACTAATATTTTAAACCGTAACGGACCCATCTCTGTTGATATTTCCCTCCAAAAGGACACCGTTATAATATAATAGAGGGAAGAATAGAGGGAAATATCGACAGAGATGGGTCCGTTACGGTTTAAAATATTAGTTTCCACAAAAAACGCATTTCGACAAAAGTGTCGCTTACGATAATTTGGCGAGTGTCGCTTACGATAATTTGGCGGTAAGGGCTCGATTATATACCATCAAGAGGAATTGAAAAATGGTCTCACGGTTAAATCCTAAAATTATGATTTGTAAATTAAATTATTAAATTATCATATCCCGTGGTCTGTGTAAGGAAAATGGCCGTCAAAACCCTGAGTTCTACTGAACCTAATGTCTTCATTTATGTCTTAAATCAATCTTAATTATTATAGACAAGTTAAATTAGGGATGAGTGAGAGTATTATAAGCGTAAGAGTAAACAAATATAATCAGATTGTTCCGAACTGCTAAGCTATCAGGAGTTACACGTGTTATTGTGAGTCAACCATAAAATATAGACATATGCTGTTGCGGGATATTTTTTAGACAAGAGATTTAAACATATAAAGTTTCATATATATTATATTTCTTAAGGTTCAATATAGAGTGGTATAGGTCCAATAAAAAGTTTAATATAAGTGAAAGACCCCTGCCTCTAGGCGGGCTGTGGCGTGCTGGACTTCTCCTTCTTCTTTTCCTTCTTCTTCTTCAAAAAGGAGGGCGTCCTCAGGCCCTTCTTCTTCTTCTTATCTTTCTTCGGGGAGTCCTCGGTCGACACCTCCTTTGAGGGGGAACCCTGCACGAAAAATAATCTTAATTACTACAGAAACTTATGAATATCATACACACATCTACATTACGTCCCAACCATCTAATTAAATTAGCCAGCCAGTTGGGTTTCTAGGCCGTTCAAATACATACACAAATCTAGTCCAGCCAAGAATAGTAGAGAATAAAAAACAAAATATAATATTTGTGATATGATGACCTTTAAGTTGGTATATCTAGATCAGTGATCCCCAAAGTGGTCTATATCGACCCCTAGGGGTCTATGACAACCTGCAAGGGGTCTACGTCAGCGAAAAAACATCAATATCAGGTAATTAGGGGGTCTACCCAACACGGAAAAACATGGCAAGGGGTCTACGACACAAAAAAGTTTGGGGAACTCTGATCTAGATAAAAATACTATAATTATTATAAGAAATAATAAGGTACCTGATACAAATAAGGCCGTATTATTATAATGAAAATATTCTAAGATAACAATCTAATTACATAATTACTCTATATATATGTTACGCTCAAAGATCGAAAACGCTCAGTGAGCGGAAAAATAGCTCACAACGCGTTGTGGTCACAGTTAAACATCCACATGGCGAAATTCGTGTTATGGCTCTAATGAAAACGCGCACGACGCGTTGTGGCAATCACAGAAAGATCAAATAGCGAAATTCGTGTCGTGGCTGTCATGCTATTCGATCTCAACGCGTTGTGGCAATGAAGAAAAGCCATGACGCGTTCTGAGCATTCATTGTTTTAACCATATCACGACGGACAGGTTGTAAGTTGATAGTAGACGTGCAGCACCCAGGAATGCTGTGTGTAGCATTAATCCATCAGGTCTCTACCAGTTAGGAAACAAGGAAGTTACGTTAGTACATTCGATAGACTTTATGCATGTGTGGCGACTTTGCACCGCTTAAAATTTGGTCCATGTCGCCATACAGCCAGTGTCTATGGACATTCCGTAGGCACTGGCACATTAGAAATTAAGTTTTATAATTATGTTCTTTTTGATATTTTCTGTTGAATTTTTAATTGCCATTCTAAAAATAGACTTCAGAGATAAAAATTTCGTCCGTACAAATTGTATTTTATAATTGTGAATATTTTCCAAATATAGTGCTGATAAGTTGACGTATCGTCGTTTAATTACTCCGTTCCGCTAGTGGGGAGCAGCGGTTAAACATCCCCAAACATGTAATGAGTTTACACTTTCTGAAACCAACTTTATTAACATTTGTGATGTGCCCTCAACTTCGTCATTAACACTTCGCAGTAAAACTGTACTTCCAGGGCCCAAAAGGTGATACTTGTTTTTTTTTTGTAGAAAAGGTCTTTTTAACAGTTTTTTTTTCTGGCGCTTCGCCGGCCACTGCCGCGGCACGCTCGCTTTGCTCGCTCGGCTCGCGCGTTATGGTCACAACACTAACCTAACCTAACCTAGTGTGAAGTATCACCACTTGATAAGAAAAGTAAAAATTTTCAATATTTTTTTCCAAAAAACTACTAGTGCATAAGTGTGACATTTTTTTTAATAATGTGGTTAACAGAAACGTTTTTAACAACAAAAATGCGAAATTACAACCAACAAAACTGTGAAGTTTTTACTTTTGGGCCCTGGAAGCACAGTATATCCCACTTCGCTCAGCATCTTCATCTGGAAGTAAGCAAGGGTTTATAATGTAATATATGTATATGTGAATACCTCTTTACTGCTGTGGGAGAACGTGCTCTGGTGTGCATCGGAATGATCACCGTTCACCGTGTGTTCACCTGGTGATGAAAATAAAATGTTAATCATAAAAATACAGCACAAACAATTATCATAATCTCACGTGCCTACTTTGGGAAACATCAAATTAAATCTAGTCTAGAAAAAAATATTGAGCAGTTAAATGCTTGAAATACTTATTAAATATAACATCAAAATTTCTCTAGACGGGATTCGAACCCTCGACCTGAACCATAGTTGAATGAAAATAATTATTCTTCCTTAGTGTGGAACTACTGGGAATAAATACTGTGGGTTTGGTAATAATAAATAAAATATTCCCAATAGTTCCATACGTGGAACTGCTGGGAATAAAGAAAAATATTTTTTTTTGGTTGCGATAAATGAAGTGAAATACACAGTACATTTTAAAATTGCAACTCTTCTGTAAGGTTTAAAAATCGAGTTGGTTTCAAAGAACCAGATTCAATCCAGTTCGGAAGAGAACTCTGGATTCAGTGTAACTTAAACTTTAAACATTTAATAAAACACTTAAAAGTGGTCATGATGCCTTGATTCGGTATTGACTGAGTCATCAGAGGTTTTTAACGATCTGTAGGCAGTGTACGCTGAAATAATAAAATGCGCACTCTATGACCAGTTTTAAAATGTTTCAATAAATAATATATTAAGTATTGGCTGTATAACATAACTGCAGTAAGCCATCATTTCTAAATAAAAGAAAAAAATGCTGAAAAGCCGAACGGGAATGCGAGAAAAACAACATACATACAGCACATGTGCAAAGCTACTTAAAATTTTAGTTGAAAAGGAAATGAATGTCGAAATATTGTACTCCAAGAAGCTAAAAATTCCATAGAGTAAAACTTCTAATAAATAGCACATACTGGTGTCGATTCTCGCATGATTCTCTAAACCTAAACTTAAATTTGACAGCAGTGTATCCTTGTCATTCTCTATACAGAATGAAAAGGTGAGAATGATGTTAAATTTAGTTTTAAGTTCACCACGCCAGAATTCGTACCACTGTAAAAGAAGGCAGTCAAGTTTTCATTTATCATGGCGCGATTAAACTTGGTCGGTAGCCCGAATATGAGTGCCAATGTAATTCGGGTAAACGACGCCCGAATTCAGGTAGATTTCCTTTTGTTTGCTCGACACCGTTTTCCAGCCCGTATTTCACTGTAAATATTGCTTCGGATGTCCGATTCGAGTAATGTCTTTCGTGCACCTGAATACCGACTAGCAACCAAATGTAATTGTCTATTTGGAATCATATTCGGTAGGCGCTTGCGATACTCGTACGTTGCCCGAGAACAATGTTTCGATTTTCAATTTCCTTTTTTAAGGCCCGTTTGCACCAAAGTACTTAAATTTAATAGCTATTTGTTTCTTAGATCTTCACGCACATCACTCATTAAATAAAACTAGTTTTTACGGGTTAATGAATTAAACTTTATTTATTTATTGACGTTTCGTAGCCTTTACAGGCTACGTCGTCAGAATCAAACTTTTATTCAAAATAAACGTCAATAAATAAATAAAGTTTCGTGCATTAACCCGTAAAAACTAGTTTTAATAGCTAATCATGTTCTCTATCTCTTTTTGACTTCAAAAACATATTCATTCGGCTATTCGTGTCTGCAATTTGTAAACTTGACAATAGTCTGTCCTTCTCATGCTTTTTAAAGTATGACAACAACGATATTAAACACCCTAGCTGCAACATCAGGAACAAAATCGTGGCCGAAACCTGTCCAAAAGGTACATTGGACGATCCACGGAGCTCCGTAAGATGATCGCGTAGTCAAAAACAATATAAGACATTACTTATTTAAAGTCACCTTTAATGCATACTGTATAAGGTCTTGATTTAAACGCACGCGTCAAAGAGTTGCGACAGTTTGAAAAGCAAGCTCGTAAAATTTTACGACATTGCTATATGCGGAAGAATATAGACCCTATTTCTTTTAGTCTACACGCAATTCTGAATGCGCTGTTAGCAATATAGCAAGTACGGACCGCGAGGAAAAGAGACGGCTATATTACCAACCATGCATTTGAATATCACAAATACTTTTCTATTAAATCAGTTTACAGTAAGTATTACAACAAAATTTGCTTCAAATGCGTTTAATTAACAAACATTGATTAGGTTACTTGTCGAAAAAACAACACTTTACGTTACTATAAGTATTTTTTTCGCATTTTTTCACGGAGCTCTGCGGGATCATTAACTTTTCATCCGCGCGTGACTGTGAACCAAGAAGTGCTTGAGTGGTGTTCAAGCACTTCTTGATTGGGACACATTTTGAGCGCACGTGGTGTATCTAGGGTATTTAATATCGTTGCATGAAAAGTACAGAATGACAAGTTTACAAATAGCAGACACGAAAATGAAGTGCCAGCAGAAGATAAAGTGATGCGCTGAATAGGATTAAGCATTGATTTAAGAATGTTAGTGCAAGACGCCCTAACCCCTTATTAATAAACGCAGAATAAGCGGGGATTAGCTAAGCCATGTTTTGTCTATTAATTGAATAACAAAGGGCATTTGAGTGACACGAATAAAACACGGCGTAACTAGTCTAAGCCTATACCTCGTTCATTAATAAGTAAGTAAGAGTGCAAAATCTATTACCTTTCCCAGTGCTTAGACGACTCAGACTCCTTCGACGTATCCATTCGAAAGCTGCCATGCAAGCGTGCGAGGTCGCAGCAAAATAAGCCACAATACACTATTACTTCAGCAAACTTATTTTTTCTGTAATCGCCATTTTGCTTTTCCATAAACATATACTTGGCTGTATGGACATGGAAACTTTTGCTTTCAAATTGATGGGAGAAATAAAAAAAAATACACACTTTTGTTAATGTACCGGATATTTGCAAAGTAATAACCAATTTTGATTTGTGTAATTTGCGAAAGGTAGGTTCTAAAAAATAGATTATTCAAACAAAAATTTTTAGATTGCTGAAGTAATGAAGTGTTTCAGTATCAAATTCACCATAACCAAAAATAATAATAATATCTTTAAATAAAAAGATGAATTTGACAATACTTTACCAACATATAAAAAGCATTGAAGCTCTTGACAATGCCATAAAAAAAGTTGCGCCTGTTTTGCCAGTTACAGATAAACTTGTGATAAGTCTATAAATAAGTTATCTATCAGATTAAATTCCTTCAAATTGAAGGCGGAAAGGTCGGAAGGCAAATTTTTCTACCCAATAAATTTATTTTATAGAACCAGGCGATGGAATCTTCTTTTTCTTCTTTTTTGTGGCAAGCACGGTTTGTGCGTTCAGCCAATGTCAAGTAAAAAGGCGATGGAATCGTCAGTCTACAAAAATATCGTTTTTTTTTTAATTTATTCACGACCATGGATACGAGTACTTCAGCCGTATAGAAAGGTAATATAACTACATATACAATAATTCCCTAACTAAAGTTGGGGTATAACTCGCCCAGGGCCCAGTGCGGATTGATGGGTGCTGAAGACTGCTCATTTAAGAGGGACTTACGGCTAAAATTTACAAAGTACGTATAAGCTTCGACAAGTAAAAAAAATGTATCCAAATACAGCATCTTATATCTGTGGCGGCGACATCTACTCGCCCCACTAATTAACAAAGCAAAACTTGTATCAAGTTTTGCTTTGACAAGAGATGGCGCTACCGGCGCTGCTTTAAAAAAGTATGGAAGCCTACATCGCGCAAGAGAAATTCTGAGAGTAACACTTCATATATACAATGCCTAACCAACATCAGGCATTACCCCCCACGCCAACTAACTAGAGCCGAGGTCAGTCTCAGAGACGCCCTCTAGCTGAGTCGACCCTCATGTTCGAGTGATCTGGAGGCTCCAGACGGAGAGGAGACTCCCCCCGTGGGGAGATGCCATCCGCCTTGAATACTTCTAGAGGCACTCGCCAATTCTCGGCTTGAGGTCCCCTTAGGATCTCGCCGTCCCCAAACCCGGTGCCGCTGTAAAGGTCATCTGCGACCAACAGCATACACACTCCCAGTTCGGTGAAAATCTTTGTGTTTGACTTTCCTTCGTATCTTAAACATAACTAAAATTCTGTACTCATTTATCTCTGTAACTGGCGAAACGACGACTTGTATTATTTTTAAATAAAACAAATGTTAGGAACATAACGTACACTTTAATAATAACATAAAACAGGCTATAATACATAGTTAAAAAATGATACACAACAAGCAAGCCATGTAAAACATGAATCAGGATACATTCATTAGCTTTTAATTAATGTATGAATAAGGAATTGTTAATGCAGTGCAGAACCCAGCCAGCCATCTAACATGTCGAATTGAGCGTTTATTAGCTCACAATTGCATCGTTAATAACGACTATTATTTAGCCGTTTATCATGGGTAAACTGTTAAAATGATATATATTTTTATTGCCAAAGAATTTCTATATTATTAATGTAAATTACAAGGATTGTGAAATGAAAATTAAGTTTGAGTAGACATTATAAGGGTCGTATAAGCGATGCATAAGTGAACCAGAAAGCTTTTGGAATGGACAACTACCATTAAATTATAAAGTAATAATCTCCTTATTCTTATCATCTGACAAGGAACCAAAATTTGGTATCAGTATATTAGCAGAGACAGAGAGAGTGTAAAGAATGTGTTAGTTGTAAACATTAATGTAACATTGAATACACAGCTATGAAGTTGAAATTATATTTTATTACCAAACGCATCAAATTATTACCACTCTGTATTTTCGAAATTCACAAAAGCTTAATCAAGAATACATTTTAACCTAACAAACCACAAGGAGGCGCTAACATACGCAATAAGAAAAAAAAGCAATTTATAAATTGTAGAAAAACCTGTGTTTATATGTATGTGAACGCCCGTATAGAAAATGTTAAATAAACAATAAAAAAACACACACAATAAAAACAGAAACACAACAATGTTAATGAAAAATAAAACATGCATCCTTAGAAAAATACGCGACTACCACCCACACATGCGTTTTTTAATAGTCATTTCCTTAATA